ATACAGGGTATCTCACCAAAACAAAATTATTTTATCAGTTGGATTTATGATTTTCTAGGTTCTGTACATTCACAGTGATAAGCTTATCTAGCTAAAGTACCAATAAATGATCCTGACCCTGAACAATGCTGAGATAATGATTTAATAATGAAGGTACAACTGCGTACACACACAAGCAACAGACAAAATGTCAGTGGGCCCAGGTTACATCCAGTGGCACGAGGAGACATTATTGATCGCTCTCTGTAATGATTGTGGACCAATACTTAATGCTGAAATGTGGAAAAAAAATGTATGTTTAGATGTTTTTAATATTCATCATTAAGTAGTGGCTTTGTGGCTTTCTCTTCTTTGGCATTTTGGCAGCATGAGAGCATTAAATTTTTTTTTTAAAAAAAATTTTTTTTTTTTTTTTTTTTTTTTCTTTTTTTTTTATTAAAAAAAAAAAATTAAAAAAAAATTTTTTTTTTTTTTTTTTATATATTTTTAATATTTTTTTTTTTTTTAAAACTATTTTTAAATTTTTTTTTTTTTTTTTTTTTTCCCTAAAATTTTCTTTTCCCTTCCTTTTTTTTTTTTTTTTTTTTTTTTTTTTTTTTTTTTTCTTTTTTTTTTTTTTTTTTTTCCTTTCTTCTTTCTTTCCCCCTTTTTTCCTCCCCCCCCCCCCCCCCCTTCTAAAAAAAAAGGGAGAAAGGGGGGGGGATGAGAAGGGAAATTTGTTTTTTTATATAAAATCTTGTGAGAAAAATTTTTGGAGGGGGGGGGTTTTTTTTTTAAATTGGAAGATATGTTTCCTGGGTTGGGTGGGGTTTTTTTTTGATCTTTTTTTTTTTTCCCCTTTCCCTTCCCCCCTGGGGGTGATGGTTGTTTTCCTTTGTTTTCTTCTTTGGAGGAAAAAGGGGGGCCGCCCTCTGAATCCTCCTCATCGAGCAACCTACAATGATCACCATCTTAGTGTGCTTTTTTTTATTTTTTTTTTTTTTTTTTTTTTTTTTTTTTTTTTTTTTTTTTTTATTTTTTTTTTTTTTTTTATTCTTTTTTTTTTTTTTTTTTTTTTTTTTTTTTTTTTTTTTTTTTTTAAAAAAAAAAAAAAAAAAAAAAAAAAAAAAGTGTGGATTTTCCTTTTTTACACCCCTCTTTTTTTGTTTCAAGAGAATTAAAATAAAAAAATTTTTTTTTTTTTTTTTTATTAAGTAAAAATTTATTAAAAAAAATTTTTTTTTTTGGTTTTTAAATTTTTCCCCCCCTTAAACCTGGGTCAAAATGACCGTGCACATCATCTGTATATTTCATTAACGCTTGCCCCACCTCTCCCTAATAAGCACTAAACACAAGTTTTAGCAGCTGAGGATGATTGTTAGGCTACGCCATTAGTTTAGCAGGTATTTGGTCTTTAAATATCTATCAAATTATTTCATAAATTCAAATTTTGATCAGATGATGGGGGACATCAATATCTGTACCAAATGTCAGTGCAAACCATCCAATAGTTCAACATATTAGCGTGTTAGCATGCTATTATTTGCTAATTAGGACTGAACACAAAGTACAAGTTTTTTTTAATATTGAGCACTGATAACTGAAGATGAAGATGAAGATGTCTCCTCACTTTATGGCAATAGTTCTGGCAGAACAGATTGTATTCAGTCATATAATCCTCCCCCAGCTACAACTCTATCTGATGCCCTCTTTTAAACACTGACCCTGTCCGGTTTTTATGATTTCTTAAGTGTTAAGTCATTGATCGGTATGTCCATCCTGATTAGTTTTAGTGTATTATTAGTCAAGACACAGAGAGCGGCTGTAACACTGTAAACTTTCCAACCTGACAATTATGTGGAGATAAAAGGTGATAAGAAAGTGGTTTCTCCACACTCTCTTCATGACCAGTCCACACCTTCAGAGTTAATGTTACTCTTTTACTTCTTGACAGCTGGTTGTGTGTTGATCATTAGTTTGTGTTAAAAGCTGTATTTTATATACATTTAGGACCTCCACTGCCTTCAGCACACAGATCTACCTGCTGGCTCTGAGCACAGCACCGAGCAAATGTAGTGGAGCACGCACCCGACTAATCTACAGGATGGGAACTGAAACTGGCGTCCTGGTTCTATAAAGCAATAGGAGTCTGAAAAACAGCTCAAATGTGATGATTTTTGATGCAAAGAGATAAAACTGAGATTTTATTAGAATTTAAGGTATGCAGCAATGAGGTGCAAAGGGAAATGTTTAACCTTCAACTCAAAAATACTAAAATGTAAACGCACAGAGAATGTAACAGGGCTAATCAAGACCATGGTCGACTAGATCTCTCCTCTGATTTAAGAGGTTTTTCATTAATCTTGATCTCTGGTCATCCAGCGAGATTAGTCCATTGGCCTTAAATCTTAATCTGGACGAGCCAGTCACAAATTGATATATGTGTTTTACAGCAATGATCTCACGCTACGCTGCTTCACATATAGATCCGGCCCTCCTTAACTCTGCCACTCCTTTACTTTATTTCCATTAAAAACATCATTTTAAACTATATCTATGTCTTTCCCACCTCTCGTCACTTCCTCATCCATCATCGTTGATTGCTTAATGTCTTCTTCCACTCCTGTAATACATTATTTTTGAAGGTGGGAATGGGTGCGTCTGTGTGTGTACATCAAGTGTATCGTACCCATAAAAGTCTGCTGTCACAGGGTGTGTGGAGCCTGTGATTTTTCATCTCTAAATGAGTCTTGGTTACCAAGCGATAAAGACATTAGGTCACACAGGGCCTTGTACACAGAGAAAATAATCAAATCACCCTCAGGATCTGATATTAGTCCTGGTTTTCTCACCACTTCCTTGTGCTTTTGAGATGACTTACTGGAGAAAACTGTTTGTAAAAGGCGTCCACCCGTCTGGCTCTCAGTAGCATGTTCACTTTCTGGCTTCTGGAAAGGAACTCTGAATGTAATCATTCAATGCATACAGATGAGGAACTGAGGTAAACAGGCTAAGCCATTATCAAAGACCTCCTACTGTTTGTACCGCTCCTCAAGCTGCCCTCTGGCTTCCTCTGTTCCCCCATAAACACAAAGCGAAGACTGGGGGCACGCTAAATGGGAACAGGCGTCACGACAGCACAAAGAACAAATAAGAGGCAGAGCTCTTTCCTTTAAGACGGTCAAATGGAGTTGGCGGCAGTTGTGCCTGACACATCTCAGTGTTGTAAACAGCCGTCACCTACGGTAACTCTTATCTGCTGAGTCACTGCTTGTGTCCCTCTTAATCTTTAAATGGTTATTTAAGGCACAACCTTGTTGCCCTCTGTGTTTACAGTTTAAACTACTGTGAGTTTTGTAATATCACAGGACTGAAGAGAAATCAAATAACCGATACAAGGTTTACAATGTGTTCTCTGTCTGCTTGTATTAGTGCAGTCTTATGAGGGGGTCTCAAATCAAAACATGTGCTTTATGATTCTAATGAGACTGATGAAACTGTTAAAATCCCTGCTGTTCAGTCCCATATGTATGGGCTGGTGGTAAGGATTCCTGCTTTTCACCCAGATGGCCCGGGTTTGACTCCCGGTATGTGAATCATTCTTTACTGCATTTTGTTGTCTTGTCACCTGTACTCTGTGCAATGACAGTAAGGCTGAAAATGAACGACTAAAGGTGGCAATATCTTAGTAATACAGTACATAAAAGTACATTATGAGGAATAAATACCCTCTTATGTAATCATTTCCTGTCATAGTTGGGGACAGTGTGCAGGACTTTATGTTTTATGTCGGCATCTGTCTGTCTGTAGACACGTGTTTGTTAAAATTACAGAAATGTCACACTTACAGCAAGCTTCCTGTAGACTGTAGATGATTTAATTAGATTTTGAGTTATTCGTTGCTCTGTGAATATAAACGTGAATACAAGTGCATTAACATGGAAATATTTGCTAATTAATGCATTATTTTCCTTTAGTAATTAGCATGCATAATTAAGCTGGTAAGCTGTGATGTGGCAGTTACACATCTTAAAGCTGCTTTAATCAATATTTGTATATTAACAATGGATCAAATGACTACTTGTATGTTGCTTGTATTGACAAACCCACAGAGAATTATCACCTGTTTCCTCAGCTCTGTGGAGTATTTTAGCATCTTTTAGCGGATTGGTCCTCAGCTTTATGGTTTTGGTTCTCTCTCACTGCTCTTATCAGCATGGTTTCCAGCTGCAGGAAGCGGATGTTTTCAGTGAAAAAGCTGTGATAAACCACCTGTATGCCACCTGCCAAGAACCAAGTGGTTGGACAGACAAAGTTAGCAAATAGCTGGGGAACAGAGTGGAGCATTTAGCAGCTAAAGAGCCCCAAACAGAGAGTGACATTCATCTATTGGACACAAACACGACTTCAAATGAATGCTAATGTTGCTATGTCTGCTTGATGTGTAAATAGGCTCACTACTTTTTTTTTTTTTTTTTTTTTTTTTGTATTTTATTTTATTTTTATTGCCTTTATTTGGCGGGACAGCTGGGGGCGGGTGGGGGAGGGGGGTAGAGGGATGGCACGCAGCGGGGGGCTGCAGGTCGGATTCGAGCCCTGGGCCGCTGCAGCGAGGACTGAGCCTTGGTACATGGGTCGCCAGCTCTACCCACTAAGCTAACCGGGCGCCCCACTATATATCTTTATATCTTATGCTGCCCCCCCAGTGACAAAAAAATCAATTAATGCAGGTTTTATCTAGCATTTTTCTTTATTTATCCAGATTTTTTTGTTTCGTGAGCACATTTATCTGGACAATTGTCCAATGTTTATTTTTCTCACTGCCACAGTATGTGTTCTGATACTACCACTGGGGGGCGCCAAAGTCAGAACATTTCAAATCCTACACATAGCTACTGTAAATTCTTCTTTTACTGGCGGCTTAAATCTCACATTTGGATTGCCTAACATTTTATTGAGATGTGCCCAAGAGAGAGAAGGCGATGAGCTGATTACTTTATGTGCTTTTGTTTTGGCTGTAGGAACGACAACAACAGATCTTACCACGCATAATGTCACCGATGGGGGAATGATCAACGAGACATCCACCACTCCTGAGATTTCTCACAACCACACGACCAGCAGTTTTACAACTTCACTACCCTCTACCACAGAGCACTTCACAGCTTCAGTAGCCACTACAACTGTAGAAAAAGCCACAGCAGAATCTACAACTTCACTACCCTCTACCACAGAGCACTTCACAGCTTCAGTAGCCACTACAACTGTAGAAAATGCCACAGCAGAATCTACAACTTCACTACCATCTACCACAGAGCACTTCACAGCTTCAGTAGCTACTACCACTGTAGAAAATGCCACAATAGAATCTACAGCTTCACTACCATCTACCACAGAGCACTTTACAACTTCAGTAGCCACTACAACTGTAGAAAGTGCCACAGAATCTGCAACTAAGAAACCAACCACCACCCCTGCAGAGACGACCTTCTCTGAGCCGAGCACCGAGCCCACCACCACTACAGTCAACAGCACCGTGGAGAACAGTATATTCACCAGCAGCAGTCCAGCCAGTGGTACAACGCTGTCCACTACAAGCCCAGAGCCAAGCCAACCCACCAACACTAGTGAGACTCCAAAAACAACCACCACACCTGCTCCAGATCACACAATGACCAGCGACAACACAACTACAAGCGCACCGATCACCCAAAGCAATGACACGACTACAAGTACACCAGTCACACATAGCAACGAAACGACTACAAGTACACCAGTAACACATAGCAACGAAACGACTACAAGTACACCGGTCACACAAAGCAACGTCACGACTACAAGTACACCGGTCACACAAAACAATGAAACAACTACAAGTACACCGGTCACACAAAACAACGAAACAACTACAAGTACACCGGTCACACAAAACAACGAAACAACTACAAGTACACCGGTCACACAAAACAACGAAACAACTACAAGTACACCGATCACACAAAGCAATGAAACAACTGCAAGTACACCGGTCACACAAAGCAACGAAACAACTGCAAGTACACCGATCACACAAAGCAACGAAACAACTACAAGTACACCGGTCACACAAAACAACGAAACAACTGCAAGTACACCGATCACACAAAGCAACGAAACAACTACAAGTACACCAGTCACACAAAGCAACGAAACAACTACAAGTACACCAGTCACACAAAACAACGAAACAACTACAAGTACACCGATCACACAAAGCAACGAAACAACTACAAGTACACCAGTCACACAAAGCAACGAAACAACTACAAGTACACCGATCACACAAAGCAACGAAACAACTACAAGTACACCGATCACACAAAGCAACGAAACAACAACAAGTACACCGATCACACAAAGCAACGAAACAACTACAAGTACACCGATCACACAAAGCAACGAAACAACTACAAGTACACCGATCACACAAAGCAACGAAACAACTACAAGTACACCGATCACACAAAGCAACGAAACAACTACAAGTACACCGATCACACAAAGCAATGAAACAACTACAATCACGCCGATCACACAAAGCAACGTCACGACTCCAAGTACACCAGTCACACAAAGCAATGAAACAACTACAATCACACCGACTGCACAGACCAACAACACAACCTTGGTTACAGCCATAACACAGCCGAGCAACATCACAACAACTCCAGCAGCCACACAAACCAACAACGGCACAGCAAATCCAAGTCCAGTAACTCCAGAAACCTCTACAGCTGTACTAACTACAACTACACTAACAAACTCTACTAACACCTCACCTGTGATTCCCGCATCCACCACCACATCCTCGTCCTCCACTATCACCACAAACACAACCCTCACAGCCGGACCCCTACCCTCCTCACCTACCTCCATCTCCACCTCCAGCTCTCTCCCTCCAAACACCTCCCCAGGCAGTAGCACCGTAACCCCCACTGGAAATACCACCACCCTTAGTCCCTCAACAGCAACCTCAGGAGGTAGGACTAACCGCATGATGTGTGCTGATATGTGTTTTTACAAAATAATATGTTGTAACGTGCAGGTGAGAAGGCATTCAGTAAGTACAGTTTTACATTTTATATTGGGATGCTACTTGCAGAACTGTTTTAAGGTCTTTAGAAGCAACTAAAGTCACAATATAAAATATCCTGTGAACCTTTTTCTTTAGACAACTCTACAAGTCTACAGCCATGCACTGTGAGCATGTACTTAGGCACAGCGGTTTCTTTGAGCTCTTATTACTGAAAGTTCCCCACCTTCTAGACAGCCATGGTTTTAGGCTAATACTTTATGGGAACCTTGCAGGCACTTAAAGGTCCAGTGTGTAACATTTAGGAGGATTTATTGGTAGAAATGGACTGTAATATAAGTAAGTATTTTTTCATTAGTGTATAATCACCTGGAAATAAGAATTGTTGTGTTTTTGTGACCTTCTACAGACGGACAAACCAAACACTGGCTCTAGATAGGGCAGTTCATGTTTTTAATCCTAACCCACCGTAGTTTCTCCATGAGGGGATGAGTGAAACAAGGTTCTTGCAATCTGCAACTACACCACTATTACTTATCAGAAGCAAGTTTTGAGTCACTCCAACTTGCTTTGCATACACTTAAACCCATAGTAGCCTGAAGAGCAGGAAATCAATCTAAAATGATTCGTATGCTTTGGAAAATTGTCTGAAGTAATGTTTTTGGAGTTATGGTCTGTAGCAATAACATCTACCACTGTGGTCCTTTTAAGAAATCACCTCATAGAATAATTGAATGCCAGCAAACTGCAGACAATACAAAAGCCTAGCTAGTCTGTAATATGTTAGGACTCTACAGCTTCTCAAAGGCCTAACTTGAGATGAGGGTAAATAATAATAATTTTCCTCTAATAATTTTGCCTTGTACAGCTTTATACAGGATCATGTTCATGTTTACATACAGTAAATAGTCATAGTAACCCTATTAGATGTTGAGAACGGTTGTGTTCTCTATTTAAACATCCTTAAACATATTTTTACATATCTTTTGTTGTTACAGTGACCAGCCACACTGCAGGAACCACCACTTTGACTCATTCAACCACACCAGCTAGTGGCAATACATCAGCCTCCTCCACCGCCACTCCAACCTCCACCACCACCACCATCAGCACTGGTACCACCATCACTGTCACCACCATGCGACCAACAGACACCACCACCAACTCCACCACAGCTGCCCCGCCCATCCCAGTCAAAGGTTTGTACCTTTCTCCAAAGCGCTTGATGTAGTTCTTTGTGGTTACCCATGAGGCTATTGGGTGAGGCAAAAAAGTTGTAATGCAGGTTTTTATCCAACCAAACACTAAAGCAAAGGATTTCATCGATCCTGATCCATCGTAACTGATCAGTAAAAGGAATTTCTTAAATCCTGCACAAAGAAACAGCGCAACTACTATGGAGCTTTATTATGAGTTTCAGCTCACTGTTTTGGTTCACTCTCATAGAGTTGTTTTCAGAGAAGAAACACTGATAAAGCCACTGTACACTATCTGTTCAGACACAGTTGGCGACTGGCTGGTGAACATAATGGAGCAGTAAGAAGCTAACAAAGCCAGACACTTCCTTTAGAAATTTGTAGAGACCAGAAATAGAGCTAAAAGAGAGTGAATATTGGACTTATGTTCATCAGGTGACCAGAAACATGACTCTAAATTAAAGATAATGTTGCCCACATATGCTGAATGTGTAATTAAGCAACTGTTTGCTAACAAGTTTGCCATTATGGACATAAAAGGTGATGATATGTCAGTCTTGTTTCCACTGCCCCCAGGTGGCCAAAAATGTTGGTTATTGCAGGTTTAACAATTTTAGTTCACATTTGTCTTCCATCTCTCAACAGTGTGCCCTGCTGTCCCATGCCCACTTGATAGCATCTGTCTTAATGGCACTTGCCAGTGTCTCTCTGGCAGCTTCCTGCAAGATGACCGCTGTGTACCCGGTAAGAACATAACTTCATTTCATGTCTGGATGAAAAACAAACATCATAACAGGGTGGTGACGGTGAGACTCTCGTCTTGTTTTTCTCTTCTTCACTCAGCCCAAGTGTTCCCAGGCCAGCTTCATCTCACCTCCTTGACATTTCAAAAGGAAATGAGCAACAGGTCCTCTCCAGTATTCCAGGATACAGCGGCTGAGATCTCAGCAGCGGTGGGTTGTGAGCTAGTGAAGCATGTTGAATAGCTTTTCTAAATGCTGCTCTCTTATTAAACCGCCTAATTATTCTCTTTCATAGCTCAAAGATGCCCTCAAAAATCAGCCAGGGTATATTCGGTCTGAGGTCGTGCAACTGGCGTGAGTATTTTCCTCCTTTCTCAGTGAAATATTACGCCACATGTCACAAAAGATAGACTGTTTACCTTTTTTTTGGTGCTTTTCTATAACTCTCCAGACCAGGAAGTGTGCAAGCAACTGTAAATAACGTCTTTGTAAACACCAACGCCACTCAAGAGACTGTTGATAACTCCATTAAAGAGGCCATAGACAACTCAGCTAGCTCAAATACACTGTTGGCTAATGCTACATTTACAGGTAAGCAGTAGTAAGTCTTTGATTGATATGTATGAGCCACAGATTGCAGTGGTTAAAGAAGATATCATATCTGCTCTATCTTAGCTACAAACCTGTGTGAGCAGGACCCATTACCCTGTGATGTCTTCACTACAACTTGCACAAATACAAACGGACGGCCTGTTTGTTCCTGTAAAGAGGGCTACATCTCCATCTTGTACTCAAACACCAGCTGCATAGGTAAAAACGACCATTTAATATTCTTTATTTATCTCCCTTATCGAGAGGCAGACCAGGACATTCTGTTGTATTTACGTTGTGTCTTTCATGTTCAAAATGTGTAATCTTTACAGTGTTCTGCTGCCATGGCACCACAGATTATTAAAGCCTCATGTATAAAGTATAAGAGCTGATGACCTGCAGCGTCTGAGACAAGCTCAAGTGAAATTTTCCCAGCTGATCTGCAGTTAGGAGAACTGTAACAAACCCCTCTTATCCTCAGGGAAATACTTGTGTGAGAGAATGAGGGGAGAAACAACAGGGAGCAAGACTCAGAGACAAGGTCAAGAGCTGTAGCCTTTTCTCTGCGCCGACCCTTGGCCCTTACTTCATTTATCTCTCTAATTTATTTCTTTTTAACGGGGTTGTTTCCCTGGAAACACGTGGAAGAATCACAGCTTTCTCTCTCTGGAGGGTTGTGACCAAGGAGATCAGCTATAGGAAGAGCTAATAAAGAATAAGACTTTCATACAAATGCCGCATACAGTTCGTTTCCCAGGGGGAAAAAAAACATAATGTACAATTATGTGCTTGTAATGGTCACTATGCAGCCTCCATATGAAGAGGCTCTCATTGTGCTCATGTTTTCATTGCATGTGCAACCAGGCGTGCTGTCCTTCTCCATATACTGCGACTCAGGCTGAAACTCTAGCTTGTTATGTTCTCGTTTCCGTCTCTTTGTGTAAAACATTGTGTTTCTCTTTGTAGCGTGTCCGAGCGGGCAGAGGGCAGTGGGAGACACGTGCCATCCGTGAGTACACACATTTTACGTTTTGTTTAGTGTGTTTTTAATGTCAGGTGTGGGGTGTCTGTGTGTTATTAATGTGAAGTTGGCTCCCCCATGTGGATTCAGTGCTGAACTCCATTAATATGCTGCAGGACAGCCCTGAAATACAAATATCCTTGTGTCTGACTGCTTTGTTTTTTTCTCTCAGATGTGCATTTGGATATGCTGGCTTCAACTGCAATGATTGTGAGTAACAACACTATTTCAAAGGCTAAAATGATGAAGCCGTATTGACAGTTATGTGCTGACCCATACAAATCTAAACATGTCTGTATGTGTGTGTGTTTACAGCGGCTCTGTTGGCAGTGGTGGTCATCTCCTGTGTACTAGGGGGAGTTCTTCTCCTCCTGATCCTGGCTTTGCTCATTTACTGCTGCTGGTGAGATCCTCTACCTTACCAGAATCAATACAGGCTTATTTTTTACTCTTTAGCTCTCTGGAAATAAATACATATTTACATTTGACCCGCATTAGTCTGTAAATATGGCTTTGGTTTTAATTTTTGATGAAAAATGATTTTTTTAAAGTTGTTTCAGCATCATTTTAATGCTTTAATTGGAACCTAAATGCCTAACCTAAATCGCAGTTTTCAATCAGATTTAACCCATTTTTAATACTAAGGCTGGCCATGTTCAGTATTTTTCTTATAGTCAGCAAATTCCATGAAAAGACCAAAAAAAATGTGTTAGTACATCTTTTAATACTTTCCAACTGCCCCTGCCCTGACTGTGGCCCCAAGCCCACTGGTTCCTACTAACCTCATCTTTAAAACAGTGTATAATATGTATAATATGTATAATATGTATAATAATATGTATAATATGTATTTGACAATAAAGCTGACTTTGACTTTGACTTTGATATAATATATTATTTCATTTTTAAATGGAATTTCCTAAAACAACTGGGCACTGTAGCTTTTAGCAATCAGGAGTAAATAAGATGTGTTGGGGACAGTTTTCAGCTGCAAATTAATACACATTTGGTGTGTTTGTGAGGTTTTAAGGCAGCAGGATGGTGAATGATGGACTAAAAATAAAGTGCAGTTACTGTGTTCACTGTAATGAAGAAAAATTTGATAATTTATGTGTTTTAATAGTTAAATGGAGCTCTATTGGAGGATTAAGATAGATCAGGTTTTTATATGTTATATTCATGCACACTTTCCATTCCGCATTGTCTGTCCATCAGGATGAGATGCTCAAAGAGCAAGCCAGACTACAGCAGCAGTCCATACTCATCAGGCGATGTAAACCAACCCTGGCCCACTGGCGTCACCCCCATCCCCCGTGCCACCACTAACTGGGATGCAACTCCTTCCATAGAGATGACAGAAGGGGGCAGCACTCGAGGCCTGGTGGACAAAAAGAATTCAACCAACGGACTGGTGAGTTATCACATGATCCTCTGTCGTCGGAACTCCTTACCACTAACCCTCAGACTGAAAATCTTGCGTAGTGTCGATCATCCACTAAATAAGCCTTTAGTTTGTTCACTGTTAACCCTCCATCTTGCATCCAGTTTGCATCTGCTAATTAACCATTAACTCACAGAGTAAGCATGGATTTGGTACTTTGCAGGCGAAGTACAAATTTCGTTTGTTTGGGAAAATTTAGCAGACCAACCAACCAACACAGCGAGCTACAGAACAGACACAGCTAATAAAAATGCATCTCAGTCTAGGTTCAAATCTGACTAAATGAGGTTGTAAATTAGGTAAAAATTCACTGACTAGTTTCATTTTGTATTTGGGTTGTGCTATACACTGAAACACAATGATTTTCTACGAAGTGTAGCTTATTTTTAACCGTAGACATGTTAGTGACATTATTTGACCTGCAAATCAACAAATCCATGCTCACTGGGCAAATGACCGTCTTGTGTCACTTCAGATACAGATTAGATGCTTTAATGATGTTCTTAATTCAGTTCACACCAGTATATTTTAACCCAATCATCCAGAATGTATATATAGTGCTAGCAAGTAGCTCCCTCCCATGCTCCCTGCTTGGCCTGACTCCCAGTGTGTTGCTTTAGGGGTTTCATCCGAAGGAGAAAGGATGGAAAAAGGTAAGGCATGGGTTTGCTTTCAGATTCTGATTTTCCTTGATGCCCCCTGCTGATTATTTAGACAGACCACAGTGAGAATGACGTTTGCTTGGTGTTGCGGGTGATGGGGAGCTTCGTAAGAGATCTCACTGATTATTGTTGGAAAGCTGTGTGCTTTCATCTTCACGCTAAATCTAATCTAGTGAGTGACGGTTCAAAGAAGCTCATTTGATGCTAGTTTGGGACTTGTAATGTTTTAGTTTTCTCACTGCACATTGGTGACTGTGGTTGCTGGTTGGTTGGTTGGTGGGTGTTTGTGTGTGAATGTATCCCTACATCTGAAAGACACTAACACACTGTTTCCACTGACATTTCAGTCGGGATCGTACGATCTCGACCCAGAAGGAATGAAGACCTTCAAGGGTAAAAATCCATCCCGTTACTCCTATCTGGTTCAAGGCCACGAGAACCCCTACTTCCTACCAGGAGACGACAAGAAAAACTGACAATCACCAGGCCAGCTGAAATCCATGCAGGAACCAGGAACATGGGATCAAAAATGAGTCGCTGATTTAAACTCCGGGTCTACTGAGCAGGACCAGGTTATTTATACATGTTTGAACTTACTGGGATTAATGACAAAAGGAAAACAGCCACCAAAGAGATTCCTTCATATGAACAATCTGTTGAAAGTGAGGTTGTGTGCATCATGTCTGTTCTTTGCAAAGAGCTAAATGGTGCTGATTATAACCAGTAGATGTCGCCGTTGCTCACTATAATTCTCTCTTTTTAAAGGTACATTTGACTTTTTTTTAAAAATCATTCTGTAGTCTTTTAAAATGAAGCTTCTTACATTTGCTAATTGCACTAAAGTGTGTGTTAAGTTTACCACCAGTTTTCCTCTCAAATCAAAGCTAAATTGAATGTGGGCTTTTCTAGATATTTTTCTTATGGGTGTGATTATTTTTTAGAAAAAGAAATCTATGACTAAAGGGGCTGGATCCCTGGTTCGGGATATTTTTAAAGGGATTTATATTGTAGCTGAGCGCTCTCAATCTGTTGCAAAATGTGCCTGTTTGTCAAATAGGAAACATGCAAAGCTGGTGATAAAGCCTGTCTCCTGGATGTGCCAATTATCACGTGTATACAATTCTTTTGAAAACTCTTATATATATATATATATTTATCCTCATGTGTCTGAGACAGTGCACTGTTTTTTAAGTGTGTGAAGATCTGTTGGCAGAGAATGTATGTGTGTGTGTTTGTGTGAGTGTGTGCAATGGAAATAAATTAATTTAAACACAACAGTCTTGTTTTTCATCATTGGTGGATGTAGTCAGTATAACAGCCCCGCACAAGCACTTAAAGAGCTTTATTGCCCCATAATTCAGCACAACCTTTTTTACACCTTCTTTGTGCCACTAATCATCATCTGGGTAGAGGAGGAAGGTTTCTCATTGATATCTGAAGAGTTAAAAGTGGCCATAGATCCTTCACAGACTTATTTCAGACTGTATGACTTAGTTCTGCCGGACTAATATGTCTGCCCAGCAGCTGCAGAAACTAAAGGACCCAGGGGAGTTCCTCTACCATTATGTCTAGCTTCATGTCCTTGTTTGTAACAGCTCAAAAACATAATGAACATTGTTTTATTAGCTCGATACATACGACTTTTCCAATGAAAATATATGCTGTTAACGTGATTTTTGAATGTTTGAGAAGTCAATAACAACTGGTTAAATACAATGCCTTTCTGTCATTAGAGTGTTTTAATAGTTTGTTCGTAGGGTCTGACCTCGTTGGTGACCTCAGACTTTGAAATTACTATAATTTATGTATTTTTTCCCCTTCAAAATGGCAGATTTAGCAATTATTATTAATTTAGATCTTTCATATACAACAGTTGAGTCTTTGGGACCTTAAACAATGAGGAAATAAAGTCAGTGCCCAGGATTAAAGGTTTCCTGTGGAATTTTTGACCTCTAGTGCTATTAAGCAGTTTTAATTGTGTTTTATTTATCCGTTAAACACTTAATTAGTCCCACAATTGGTATCATACTATTACACTGATCAACAGGTGGTGATAACACGTCAAAATACACCAGAAAAGTCAGGGAAGAAGAAGACTTCAAGCTGAGCATGGTCTTAATTTTTACATCAATCTTTCATTTCAATGCATTTATTAAAAGGATTACACCGTTTAGGTGAGTAACACTTAATATAAACATAACAGGCCTGTGTCCTTTTATTCACCTCTTTCAGATTGAGGACATCCTTCATAATTGCACGTCTGGATACATGATTTCTTCATCTGTTTATATATCTACCAAAATGTAATAAAACAGTGGCTGTTATTGAATTCAGTATGTTTGAAAATCTGCATATGCAGAGTTCCACATTTCATTTGCTGAATTGCTTTTGCAAACACCACCACTCTCATTTAAACTGAATAATGGTGTTGGCGCAGTTCATTATGCAGATCACAGCAGCACGAGGCTTTTTAAATGAATGACCACATGAATCACAGAGTTAATAAGATTATTCTTACTACTCCATCTCCCTGCCTGCTGTGCAGCACTTTGTCACCCTGAGTGACGAGGTGTTTGAAGGCCTCAGAAATTTTATGTTGGTGTTTGTGTAAAACTTGGCTGGCAGTGTGTTGCTGTGGCATTACACTCCAGGAGGCTGCTCCTCGCAGGTTCTTAAAAGCTGGGATTTGGTTTGCTCAGAGGCTAAATCTGGCTTTGCCAGGCCTTAATCTTGGGCACTGGGTCACTGGAACACACTGTGACTGGCATACAGGATGAATCAGACAAATCAGATGCACATGTGGTGTGTTCATTTGTATTTGCATATAGTAAACTTGTGTGTGTGTGTGTGTGTGTGTGTGTGTGTGTTTTTACTGTGTAGCATCCTGATCTGTAGCTTAATATCACTGCCAGTTGCCAGGCTGGATTTTCACACTCATCTGTGAGTGAAATAACACAAATTAAACAGTCACAGAAAGACAGAATGTGGTGTTTGAGTGCATTCAGAAAGTCTGGCTCAAGCTGCAACGTGTGAGCTATTTAACACCTCTGTGTGAATTAAACTGGTAAAGTTTCAGCATTCTCTAATGCAGGGGTCTCAGACTTAAATTAGCCTGTGGCCATTGCTGGTATTGCCACTTCAACATGTAAGTATTACAAGTATCAAGTATCCTAAAATATTTCCATCACTAACATATACTTAACAAAAAAATGAAAACAGCAGTTTCTGTACATATTTATATAATCATTTTCTATCATCTTTGTTGTTCGCCGGTAGGAGAGGGATGGAGGGCCTTAAATGGCCCCTGGTTCAGCAGGAAGAGACTCCAGCTATACTGTTTTTCTGGTTACTGTGTTCAAATAAATCCCTTTGTGCCTGCAAAGATTTATTGTTGTCTCAGTTTGGTCAGTGTTTAATGCATTTGTGATATAATAATAAATGTAATTTTCCTAATGTCACAGTAATAGTCTTCTGTTGTGACTTGCTAGATATTGATGCATTTTGTCAAAACTATATGACAACTAGACTAAAGCTCACTTATTTTCACACACAGAGCAGCTGCACATTTTAATGATATCATAAATTAGGTAATTGGACGTATCATTTAATGCTGTAAGGGGACAGAAGTTAATTAGATCTGTGGTTTTGGTACAAAGTTGCTGACAGATGTTCTCAAAGTGCAAGAGAAATAAATTATAAAAACATTTTTTCTTTTGTTAAATTTCCTGTCCTACCTTTAGTGGACCTCACAGGCAAATTTAATTCATAAAACCTTTAGATCATGAGCGGTATTTCCAAATTTCGGAGACCATTTGAAGATATCTGAGCAGTAAATTCATACGTATAAACTGTGTGCAGAATTCCCCATTAACTTGAATTATACTGTACATTTGGTTTTCTACTTTGTCTGTAATGAACTGTGTCTGTCAGCCAAGGCAGCGGTTCTAATCTGTGCAGGAATGCATTTTGTACCCATTACCAGCCTGCCAACTCCTGGCTCTGTCTGCTGCAGCACATCCCATCAGCCCACAGGCTCAGCTGACTGATCAATAGACCACTTAGCGGCCGTGAGCTACACACATCCCAGTCATTTGACCCGCTGGAGCTGTGGGAATGGGCACGCAATCCAATAAGCATCGAGCCACTGAGACAAGCGAGCTGGACCGCCAGCTCGAGGAACTTCCTCTCCTCTCTGAGAGGCTGTTCTCGGGATGGGAGGAGCTGCAGATCCAGGACTCCGTAGATCAGGCCTGCTTTACTCCTGCTGAGACTCAATGAGATATTGATTCTGTCTCCCATCTTAATAAAGAAACTGTCCACTAAAGACAATCTGCAATAGTTCCACAACACAATTCTTCATAACAAGTGCAGGGAAAAGTATGTCACAGTTTAAACTTCTGCACACTGCAGTATTTTGAAAAGTAAAATATGTACAGTACAGAACTTTTGGTCAGCTATACTCCTAATTCAGTTGGCCTGCTTTTCGTCATTTAAGACTCTGTTCTTTCAAAATGTTACCAAGTAAACCCGAGCTGTCAATAATCAACTAGTTAATTGCAGTTTGATAATCATTTCAGTCCCTTTTCAAGCAAAAATGCCAAACGTTTGCTCGTACCATCTCCTTAAATGTGTGTATTCTTTCTGCTTTTCTCTGTTTTGTATCATTATAAAATGATACACTGGACCTTGAATACAACCTTAAACCTTCAGATAAAACTTACTGATTACAATAAGTTATCCTTTTTGCTTTGATAAAACAAAACTGATTAGATTCTTAAAAATACATTGTCACAAAGCTTTATATTAAGGCAGTTTTTCTTCCATCCATCCATTTTCTGACGCTGATGCTGGGCTCTCGCTGATTGACTGATTCATTTCAGCTGCTTCCTTCTGGACGGTGGTTCATAGTCCCAAGAGCTTTGTTCCAGCAGTGATCATTCAGATTACTACGCTGTAGTAACATGGCACAGAGTTGTTTTTTTTTTACCTACATTTTGAGCTTATTTATTCTAGTGGGTTTTTTAATTTATTGATCTCTCTTTGTAAGACCTGATTTTTAGAGCCTGGAGCACTTTTATCTTTTATCTTTATCATTTATCATGTTTGGATTATGTTTGTTATTTGTAGTTTTTATGTTTTTGTCAGGATGCCTTGTCTTTTACGGCAAATCGAATCTACCTGTGGGTACAAATAAGCTTCTCCTGGGGGATCCTGGTTGTCCCCAAACCAGAGGAGATATAATCAATCCAACGTGTTCGGGGTCTACCCTGCGGTCTCCTAAACCTACACAGGAATGCATCCAGGAGGTATCCTAAAAAGAGGTCTGAGCAGTACTTAACAAAAAGTTGACATTTTGGAGGTACATATATGAGGACATTTCTCTCAAAGAAAAATTAGCTTCATTCATCAGTAAATCTGTCTAATCCTCCCTGGAAGCACCTGAGTTCAACAACTACTCTTAACACTGAATTTAATAATGAGAGTTTATTTCTAAGTTCATTAGAATAACAAAAATCCTGTCTGAGGATATTACACGGGCGTGATGTTTAGTCCTGGGACATCACGGACAAACAGCAGACAGACTGCAGCATATGAAGCAGTCTGACTCAAAGATTAGAGACTTTTAACTGCAGCAGATGGAGATGATAGTTTGCAAACACTTAAGTTTACAATCCACGATTGCCAACAAAACAATCTAATAAATTCCTGCCAAAAGGGCCAGAAAGGAAGCTGAAGCCACCTGCTCTACTACTCCACTGCTGTGAATGAGAGGAAATACGCCTCTGTTATCCTCTCTGCCATTCTCCTCCTCAGCTTTCTCTCCCTCCCTTCTTCTGCCTCTATTAAGTCACACAGAAGGCTGTAATTCACTTTCGCTAATGCCGCTTTGCAGCAGCCCGTGAAGTACATGAAATTATGAAACATTTCCCAGCAACCTTCTAGATCTCAAGTAACACCTGCCAAAAAAAAAATCCCTCCACAGTCCTCGTAGGTCTTCCACCTCCTTGATGGAGTTATAACCAGAGATAATGGAGGGTAAAACCATTTAAACTCGTTTATTCAACTATTAGACTTAAAATTAGTCATTTTTAAGCATTGCCTGGACATTTAAGCATGACTTTCTATAAGAGGGAAAGAGCATAAATGTCTTGTCAGTTATAATAAACTGTATATTCTCAATAGTTGATGTATAAAAAGTGTTAATTTAGTGTAATAGATGAATGCCAAATATTAACTTAATTATTTTAATATGAAATAATATCAATAAATAGCTG